CCTGATGACATCAAGAAATTTTGGATTAAAGCAGAATCTTTAATCCAGGGCATCTCAAAGGGAGAGGCTCATCTGTTTGGGAAAAAAAAAAAAAATGTTTTTTTTTTACTGGCAAAATAGTTATTACTGTATAGAGTAAAATCACTTTGTTTCAGTCATTGCACACATGATTAGTCGATGAATTAGAAAATCATGTTTTAGTGGAATCTCATTTATCTTATGAGCTCAACTTATTGGGAGACAGTGTGTCCAGATAATATCTTTTTAAAAATGTCTGCCTGCCCCCCAGCATTATTGTCTATAAGAGGATCCTTTTATCCTTCAAAAGTCATCACCAGCTTCAAATGAGAGTAAGCAAAAATGGTTGAATTTGAGCCTGAGTAAATGACAGTTTATCTTCCTGGTTCAATATGCCCTCCATGTTTTAAATAAAGATGTAGTTGAAAAGATAAGATTGGAAATTTAAAAATAAAGCTGCCAATTCCAGGTTTAGATATGGATCTGAAAACATAGCTCCTTCTGTACCACCACCCCACCACCCCCGCCCCAGGACACTCATTGGTTTAGCCTGTTTTGCAGACTGTGTCTTGTTCTCAACTACTGCTCCAAACAGTTCTAAGAATTCTGCGAATGATATATCCATATGCTCTCAGAACTTGCCACCTTTTGCCTGGACTGAGTAGCAGAACCCGGTTCCTTCCCTGTGAACTAAATTTTGTACTTTGGATCTGAAGATGTCAAAGTGAGTCTTAGGAAATCAAACTATTAGCTGGCCACTTTAAATAAAAATGTTAACCTTTATCAAGTACCCACTGTCAAACCAGGTAGTTTTACTCATTTAGTTCTCAAAGTATAGCCAGGTAGGAGTATCCTTTAGGCCCATTTTTCAGATAAAGCCACTAACTTGTACAAGTCAGATGGCCAAGAAATAGAGTAGGATTGAAAACCATGTCTATTCACTTCTTGGAAACAAGTAAGCAGGTGAAGACAACAGAATTGAGATCCTGGTATTTTTCATCCAAAGCCTGATCCCTAAAGAAAATAAACACTTCAATTGTTTTGAGTCCCTTTAGATGCTACTTAATATAAAATACTTGCTTAGAAAAAGACTCTTCTATTAAAAGATAAATAAGCCTCTCCACTACCATGTATAGGTTGTCCATTATATACAAGGTCTTATGCTGGGAAACAATGGGTACAGACTTGGGAGCTCCATGATTCATACTGTCAACTAAAATTGAAACAATCATAGGCCATTGACTAGCTGTCCATATATACACATGACAAAAGTGGGGCAGATTCATTTATTTATTAATTCACCAAATATTAATTGTGACTGTTTCTGAATATCTGAGCCTGTATTTACTTACATGAAAAATAAGGACCAAAGTGTCCTTGCCTGCTTTCCTAGGCTGTTGCAAGGATTCATTTAAGCAATGTGTAAAATTATTTGGATGATTATAAACTGCCCCACTACCACATGCTTCTTATTACACTGAGGCATTTCCACACAGAGGTTCAGACCTTCCAGAGTTTGATTCCTCTGCTGTGTAACCTAGGGCAATGTTTACTCTGGTTATAAACCACTCTCTCTCTCTCTTTAAATTTTTAAAAATTGAAGTGTATTTGATTTACAGTGTTATATTAGTTTCAAGTATATAGCAAAGTGATTCAGATATATATATATATATATCTGATATATATGTATGTTAAAGGTTGAGAACAGACATAAAGGGGGACGCGTCCAGCAGTGTCCCCCGAGCTCTGCTGAATCAAGTAAGACGAAGATTAGTATTAGGGTTATATATATAATATATATATTATATATATAATGTGTATCTGACTCTTGGTGATCTCATGGACAGTAGCCTGTCAGACTCCTTTGTTCATGGGATTTTCCAGGCAAGAATATTGGAGTGGGTTGCTATTTCCTCCTCGAGGGTATCTTCCCGACCCAGGGATCAAACCTGCATCTCCTGCATTGGCAGGCAGATTCTTTACCACTGAGCCATCTGGGTGTGTATGTATAGTGTGTGTATGTGTATATATATTCTTTATCAGATTCTTTTCCATTATATGTTATTAGAAGATATTGAATATAGTTCCCTGTGTTCTACAGTAGGTCATTGTTGTTGATCTCTTTTATATATAGCAGTGTATGTGCATATGTTAATCCCACATTCCTAATTTATCCCTTCAGTAGCCATGTTTTCTACGTCTGTGAGTCTATTTCCATTTTGTAAATAAGTTCATATGTATCATTTTTTTAGATTCCACATATAAGTGATATCATATGATATTTGTCTTTCTCTCTCTGACTTAGTTCACTTAGTGTGATAATCTCTAGGTCGATCCATGTTGCTGCAAATGACATTATTGCATTGTTTCTTATGGCTGAGTAATATCCCATTGTATATGTATACCACATCTTCTTTATCCATTCAACCGTCTGTGGACACTCAGGTTGCTTCCATGTCTTGGCTAGTGTAACTGGTGCTTCAGTGAACACTGAAATAAACCGCTGTCTCTTAAGTTAACTTGACTGAATGTTTATTTCTTCACAGCAATAGTGCATGATGCACACTTGGGGTATATGGGCTCTGGATATACATATAGCATCAAAACTATAATTTCTAAGATAAAATTCCCCAAGGTACAATGAAAAGAGGATGCATTTGAACATCTAGTAGATGAAATCCTGGCTCTGCCACTCACTGGCATGAGACCTTGGGTATATCATTCAAACTTTGAACCTTGATTTCTGCACCCATAAAATGGGTGTATTAATATCAGTCTCATAGAGTTGTCATAATAAATGACAATATGCTATAGAGCCCTGGTATGTTGGAACTTATCAGTTAAATCCTATAAATGGAAGGTTGGATATGCATGGCTTCCTCCATTAATAAAACATAGCTCTCCATTTCCACCATCTCTTTAAACTTAATTCAAATTAGTGAAGGTAATTTTAAAGCTGCAGAGAATGGATAGGGAATGACTAGCTTTTGTCACCTCTTGCCTTCCCTGTTACCTTCTCTTTGTTAACTGCTGTCTCATAGCAGGATAAAAAGGCTGGTACGTGGCCAGGCAACTTCAGCACTGGCAGAAAACTAAAGCAGTGGCTCTTTCAGATGGTCCCTTGGGAATGTGTCCTTAACTGTTAGGCCTCCAGGGGGGCACAGCTAACTCTCTTTCCTCCTCTTGTCCTTCCCAGGCAGCCGCACCAGTGCTCTCTCTCATGTGCCATATCTTATCCTTAGGAAATGCTCATGCATCCATTCCCCAACATGCAACACAGCAGCCTTCTCCCAGAGCTTGTACCAGAGCAGCTGGGCGACCCTTCTCTGGCCTTTGGTTTCCCTGAAAGGAGGCAGTCCCTGGGCTGCAGGCCTTTTTTGTTGGGATTCAGACCTTTTTGTTTGTTGATTCAGCTCTGAGTAGGCATCAGTCCTCTAAGCCTCCCAAACACAAGGTACACATTTCAGAGTTCTCCAACTGTGTCATGAAACCTCCTCCCACCAGGCTCCTGGTGAAACCAGAGGTCTGCAGAATTCTGTGAAGGTGAGCCCTCCATTGCAGTGCCAGAGCAGCCGCAGGTGATGTTATTTAAAGGAACAGGGTGGGAGTCTTCCTTAGCATGTTACTTTTGGACGCTGAAATTTGATTTACAATGAATTTTCATTGGTCACAAGTTATTTATAATTCCCCTCCACATTTTACATTTGACAAATGTAAAAGCCATTATGAACTCATGACTGTACCAAACCAGGCAGTAAACCAGATCTGACCTGCAGATTGTAGTTTCTTGACTCTGGGTTACATGGTAGAAAGCCTTCCCTTCCTCCAAAAACAGAAGAAAACCACAAACAAGATGAAGAGTCACACAAGATGCAGGAACTCTCACCCAAAAAGCCTCTTTGTCAGTCTGTTCACACAGTCTCACTCTCCACACTGTGGCCTCTTTTGATAACCTCAAAGGATGGGCTAGGGGAGGAGCGGAGAGCAGTCTGTCCAGAGTACTAGATCAGTTTATTGGACATGTTCTTTAAAAATCTTCATATACACATTTGTTTCACTTGCCTTGTTCTCTTGAATCTGTCATATTGACACCTCCATTGAAACAGACAAATGGAGGTCTTTTCAAAACTTGTTGCAGTAGTCATTTCAGTCATTCTCGTCATTACTGCTCAGAATCTATCATGAAGAGGAAAAGAAAGAAATACATTTGGATAAAATAAATGGTGGAAATTGTTTTCTTATATTTCCAGGCTAAAGTTGTTGATTCATATTGATCAAGAGGAAGCACATTTATTCTGTTTACCTAGCTGGGCATGTCTTCTCTGTCCTAGAAGTAGGGCTAAGGTGAAAGTCAGGGCATCTTTTTTTTCCCTTTCACCGATTCAGTCCTTGTTAGGAAAGTTGGCTTTGAGGAATAATGGGCTATCTTTCATGTTGTGGTTTTGGCCATAGGAACAGAATCTGGCACTAGGATCAATTGTCATAACTATTAATATTTATGGCACCAAGATATTTCAACTTAATGTTGACTGATTTTTGCACATTTTCAACAGTGAGTTGGTTTTAAGTATATTGAAGTAGCAAGTGTATATATACTCCTATGGAGGCCACTTTTACCATGCAGATTGCTTCAATACCAAGCATCTTTAAACTTTGAATGTGTTTTTATCTTTGGAGACTGTAGGATTTACACTAAGGGAAAGGGAAACTCAAAGGGAAAATGATGAAGTCTGGGTTTTATAAACCAGTGTCCTTTTCCTTTTGAAAGTGTTACTCTGTTGCAATAAAGTCATAGTACAGCAAATGGATATTAATGTGCATCATATCAAGAGAACATTTTTACATGAATACTTGTCCTTTAGAGTTACATAAGGTCTCCCTTCTAACAAGTTCAAAGTACTGATGAAACATGTCCTTATTCATTGGCTCCACATCTCAGAGGATCAGGAGGATACAGAAATAATTTTTCTTTCATTTTTCAGGTGACTAAACTGAGGCCGAGAGAGATTTTGGTGAAAATAAGAGCACACAGCAGGTAAGAAAAGATTCAAATGTTACTTCACTTACAGACCTACAAACTCTTTTACTTGGGTGATGGTGAATATTCTTCAAAACAGGGCCATAGAACAACTTATCATATGTAAATGTACTTAATGCAAAGCATTTTTAAGAATCTTATTAACATTCCAAACCTGTGAAGCAGTAATAATATTTTCTAGGTTAGAACCAGAATATTCAGACTCAGAAAGACCTAAGAGATCATAAAGTTCTGCTCATTCATTTTACATTACAGAAAATGAGGGCCAGAGGGAATAAAAGATGTTCCCAGGTTATCCAGCTAATTGGAGGCTGAAAGACCAGGTCTTCTGACAGTTTATGACCTTCTCACTGGATTCTCGATGGCAAATACATCCCTCATTTGGTGCCAGTAGCAGACATCAATAATCAATCACCCTACTCTGCCAAGCCTAGTCACAGTCATAACTAAAAACTAGTTAGAAATTAAACCTGTTTGTCATCCATGATATTAAAATGCCTAATATAATTTTTAAAGCTTTTTATTGACAGGTACATAGAATATAGCAGGCATGGTACACATAGTATTTAATTGCAACCTCACAACAACTCTGTGCAATTGGCACAGTTACAGTTATGGAAAATGAAATTCAAGGAGAGTCACTCAAGGTCAAAGTAGTGACTTGTAGTCACCTAGAAGCTAGTTGGTAGCACACCAAAGATTTAAATGTAGGTCTTTAAAAAATACACATGTGTATATATATATATGTATATATATATATATATTTATAGATACACATACACACATGAATTTCACTTAAAGTTTCTCCATATCCCATCTTACTCCCTTTAATTATTTTTAAATTTTTAAAGGAAAATTGTAAATATTTCAAGTGTACAATATAACCTAATATACAAATATATTGTGAAATGATTACTATAGTTGAGATGATTAATGTATCTTCCCATCACATTTATCATTTTTCTGAGTGAGATGAGTGTATCTAAATCTATTCTTTCAGCCTATTACCATTGTTCAGTACAGTATTATTAGTTATGGTCATCCTTATATATTAGATCTCTAGACTTACTCATCTGGCACAATTAACAAATTTACACTCTTTGACCAACATCTCCCCATTTTCCCTACCCCTCCCAGCCCCTACTAACCATTGTTCTACTCTCTGCTTCTATGATTTTGACCTTGTTTTTGAGTCCACATATAAGTTAGACCATACAGAAATTTTGATTCTATGTCTGGCTTATTTCACTTAGCATGTTGTCATCCAGGTCCATCCCTGCTGTCACAAATGGCAGGGTTTCCATCTTGTTCATGGTCACATAATATTCCATAGTGGATGTGTATACGTGTTGTTTCCGTATCTTGGCTGTTGTGAATAATGCTGCAGTGAACATGGGGGTAGAACTATCTCTTTGATATACTGACTTCATAAAGTGTGAATTTGCTGAATCATATGATAGTTCTATTCATAATTTGGGGGGATATCACCATACTGGTTTCTGTAGCAGCTGTACCAATTTACATTCCTACCAGTGATATACAAGGTTTCCCTTTTCTCTACATCTTCAAAAACACTGGTTATCTTGTGTCTTTTTGATAGCAGCCATTTTTACAGGTGTGATGTTACATCTCATTTTGGTGTTGATTTGCATTTTCCTAATGATTAGTGATGTTCTACACTTTTCATATATCTATTGACTATTTATTTGCATTCTTGTAAAAAATGTCTATTCAGGTCCTTTGTCTATTTTTACAACCAGGTTATTTTCTTGCTGTTTGAGTTGTTTGAGTTCCTTTTGTATTTTGGATATTAACCCCTTATTATATGGTGGTGGTATTGTTCAGTCTCTAAGTCGCATCTGACTCTTTGTTACCCCATGAACTGCAGCATACCAGGCTTCCCTGTCCTTCGTATGTGTGGTTTGCAGATATGTTCTCCCATCTATAGGTTGTCTCTTCACTCTTAATTGTTTGCTTTGCTGTTCAGAAGCTTTTTAATTTGATGCAGCCAATTTGTCCATTTTTTTTATTGCTGTGCTATGTAGCACACCCTTCCCCAAAAAATCATTGCTCAGACCAATGTCAAGTTTTTCTGGTCTTATATTTAAGCTTTCCATCCATTTTGATTTGATGTTTATATATGACATGAGATAAAACCCATTTTCTTTCTTCTGCATTATATTACTCCTTTTTGAATACAACCTTTTTCATCTTTTTTTTTTCCCTCCAGTTATGTTCACTTTGGAGAGGTGGGTTACTTTTTCCTTGCTGAATTTAACAGTAAGATCAGATGCTCCAAGTTCAATGAATTGGAAACGCAAAACAGTTCCCTATCTTTGCAATCTCCATTCAGTTGTTAACTTGCTACAGGTTAGAAATGGCCTTTCTTGAAAGGCATATTTGGTGGAACAAATAAACTACCTTTTGTTAGGGGTTTGCTGTGGCCCTCCCCTAGGCCCTTACCCCCTCACCACATCCATTTCCAACTTCTTACACAACTTCCTCTGCTTCCCTGTCCTCAACTGAACATGAACAAATTCAGCCCTGCTGTGCCTGGCATTTTAAATGGAGCTGGGACCAGGCCAAGATAAAGTATTCCAGCTTCTTCTAGCAATTCACCAGCAAAAAGATTAAGAAGGATTTATAGCAATTTTCAGTTATATGTAAATGCCACCAGCGTAGCTTAAGAGATGGGGCATACATTCAGGAATCTTTTGTCTTTACCCTGCTAAGTCAAATGGGAAAAAAACAAAATAAAACCCAGGAGAATTAAATATTATACTGCCTATCTAGTTTTTTTAGCTGTCTCTAAATTAGTTAATGGTACATCCAAGTCTATGTGAGTAAAGTCCATGAAAGATCACAACAATTTTGCTGGACACATCAGCTTATCTGGACACAGAAGTAAATCCACTGAGATGATCTTTCTTCATCAAACATGACCAGCCTCTGCTGACCTAGCTCAGCTCCTAGATGAGAACCTGGGAATTCCCTTGAATGCCTCATAGTATTAGCACATGGTCTCATGTATATACATGCCTCATAATATTAGCACTTACTCACAAAAGGAACCCAGTTTTTAAACATTACTGGTCCTTCTCTGCAACTTCTATTCAAAGTCGAAGGAAATGAATGGCCTTAAAAGATCCTCTTGAAAGAGTAAACTACATTTGTCTTCTAAGTGAAGAAGATGAAAACAAACATCCTTAGTGTTTGCAAATTGAGAACCAAGATTCTGGTCCCTATGGCAGAACTGAAACACTTGGCCTGTTTCTGGACTGTATTTGAACAATTTCAGCCGCCTGATTGTACCTGGCTTCTTAGAAAGATAAACAGTCTCCAGGCCCCCAAGGGTGTTGGCTGTGACGACTTGCTTTGCCAGTGTAAAATGTAAGCTACCGAGAAGAGTTCATCCTATCCAAAGGCATAGGCTTTGTCAGCAAACAATTTATCCTGCATCTTGTTAATACTGAGAGGTATTTAATGTAAACTCTGGATTATTCAAGCATTGTGAAGCATTTCGAAACACAGCTGCACCTCCTGGTGTCTTGTTGAAATTCCCTTGTTGAGTCTCCATCGAAATAATGTAGCAGTAATGTGTTGGGAAGAAAAGGTAAATAGTTCTTGATTTCATAATTTATGTACAGCTGTGTTTGTAAGCACATGGTAGTCAGGGTAGGCGAATGCCGCTTTTGATTTTTCGATTCAGCTGTGATGCTGCCATGATTCAAGAAGCACTGAGTCATGACAGACATTTTCAAGTGAAATTTGATCAGCATGGACAGCCAATCTAAATAATCAAAGTAGTTCATAGTAAGTGCCGTAGGAACCTTATACTGACAATGTATTAAATTAGAGAAGAGAGAGCCCTTCTGTCTGCCTTCGATGATGCTGAAAGACTTCTCAGAGGATGGAACATGAAAGGTGGATACTAGGTGGCACTTCACTATGCAGAGATAACAGAGAAGACAGTTTAAGAGCCAGGCCTGATGTCTAATTGAATGTAAAGCATATGCCTGCAGTTTCGTCTGCATCTCCCTGGTTTTCTCCTGGCTTTTCTTTCTATACCAGAATATCCTTCCTACACTTTAAAATCTGTCCTAAATCCTAATTATAAGAATTCTGTCCTTGGGGGCAGTAATCATAAATGTCTTCCATGACGTTTCACACACAATTATCATATCTGGTGTGTGGTCTGAGTTGAGTAAATATTTACTGAATTAAAACTCAGCCACAGTCTACTACTTGTCCTCTCCACTCACAGCCTACCAGCCACTCATGTTTGCCTCCCATCTGCTGCCATTCGCCATGACTTCGACATAAGAAGTGATTGGCACATGTTTGATGGGGGATGGATGGAGCAACTTGGTGATGTTGGTGACAGAACAGTGCCCACAACTCTGTAACATGCTCACCTTATAACGAGTATCATTGTGTGCAAGTTATTTGATTTTCAGACTAGAACTACAATACCCAGGCATAGAGCTGACCCTTCTTATGTGATGGAATCATCTCAGTACTGTCAAGTCAGGACTACCACCCTCATCATGCTATAGGTGATAAAACTAAGGCTCAGAAAGGGGAAATCGCTTGCCCAGTGTTCAGTGAGATTGTACGCAAAGGAATGGGGAGTTGCACGTCTGCACATGTCACTTCAGAACCTGAGTTCTTGAGTCTGTTCAACAGTGAAGCTTTTATTTCATTCCATAGCAAATAGCAAGTAGCATTCATTCATTCTTTTCCTAAGAACCTTCCTGACCCCATGTTGTATAGAAAAAGAGGAGCAGAAGGAAAGTCGAGGGAAAAGGGTATAGACAACGTGTCTCAGTCAAGGGTTGAAATTGGTTCATACATGCATAAATTTTCTCTGGGCTATTTTGTTGTTATCTGAATTGTTTCCCTACACCTCCAATGGCTTAATGAATGAAAAAGCGCAGGCAATGCAAGTTTATTAAGTGAAGTCTAAATGGCAAGGTAAAAGCTTCTGGGTGGTATAT